AAGGCCTTGACGTTTGGAGGCCAACAAACCCGAGTGTGAGTCCTGGCCTTGTCTCCACCATAGGAGATCTTGGGTCATACACATCCTCTCTCTGACTCTCAATCTCCTCATCTGTGACATGGGGTCCACTTGGGACCAGAACAGATTATATGAAGGCCTGTGGGAGACGATGGGTGTGAGTGGAGTTGGGTTCAAAGGAGAGCTCAGCAGGTATTACTTGTGAGGGCTGGCCCGGACTCCACCCCCACTGCAGTCATGCCTTATTTCCTGGGACCTTGGTCAAAGTGCTCAGAAGCAGCAGGGGCCAGCTTAGGGGCAACAGGGAGGGGAAACTTCCCCTTAGGAGAGGTCTTTAGTGGGTCACGACATCCCAAGGCTTTAGTGGTTTTAAGTGGGTCATGATGTCCCAAGGTGTGAGAGGTCTAGGACTGATGGGAAGGGAGGCTGGCTGGAGGAAGATCAGGAGGAGTGTGTGAGTACCACTATTCCCAAGAGACAGAGCTGGCATTTCCCTGCCAAGTTTCTTTCTGTTCTTGTAATAGATTTCCTGAGGGCCTGAGCAAGGTGTGGTGGTGGTGGGGAACTGGATGAAGACGGGAGGGGATGGGTCTGAAACCCAAGAACAGCTAAGCCAGAGTGAGGGAGGAGCTGAGATCCTGGCTTTCCCGAGGTCTCCAGGGAGGGACACGGACTCTCCCAGGAAGCCTGCCAGTGAGAGCCTCCCAGGGCTCTGTGCACCAACTTTTCTAATCAGCCCCAGGCCTAAAAGTTATTTTCAGTTGGAAGAAGCTCATGCCAAAGTCATAATATCATCCCCTAACATCTCCCAAATCTTCCATCTTTGAATTATCGTCAGGGCAGCCATATGATTTTTTTCAGACAGTGAAACTGGAGTCTGTGCCCATCCATACACCTGGGAGCACGTCCGGAGCATTTGCTGAGTGTCAGACACTACTCTAAGTGCCTTGTGGCTAATGAAGTTCAATTCTCACAGCAGACTTGTGAAGGGAGTCACAGTGCTTGCTCCCCTTTTACAGATGGGAAAACTGAGGAACAAAGAGGAACAATACCACACGCAAAGACATGCATCCACTAAGTGGTGGAAATGGATTGGAACCCTGTAGGTGAGCATGTGTGTAGGAGACAGCTGGGGTGTGTGAGTAACTAGGTGTGGGGGTGGGTGTGCACACGTATTGCTGCACACGTACTGGGCCCATCTAGCAGGACCCTGTCCCTGAGGAGGTCCAGGTGTGTGCCTGATCCTTGCAGCACCCTCTGGTGTCCACGCCTCACTGGTCACCAGAGAAGCTTCCAGGGCCTACTTGTCCCTGCCTGTAGGCTCATGCATTTCTATATGTGGGGCTTACTCCCTTTGGCTGGTGGTATGTGCTGCCTCCAGCCCAGAGGTATTGGGGAGGGGCTTTCCAGCCTTCAGTGGGCCCCAGGGGCAGTAGCCCAGGGAATAGAGAACAGAGGCAAGAGGTCTGGAATCCCTGGAGCATCGCCTTCTGTGAGCGAAACTCCCAGCCCGGGGGACACTTCCAGCTTCTCCTCCTCCTCCTCGTCCTGGAGTGGAGAGGATCTTGGTGGTGGCACTCATGCTAGGCCTCACCACCTGGCGTGCCTACCACCCCTCTAACGCAGGGGCTGCTGGCCATGGTGATACTCCCAGCTCCCGTACACCCTCAGGCCTGGAAGAAGACGTCTCCTTGCACATCCAGTGTCACCCAAAGCAGCCCTGCTCCTGCTGGCCTCCACACTGCCCCTGGGGAGGCTTCTTTCTCTGTACCTTTGTGTCCCTCAGTCCAGGTCTGTCTGTTGACTCTAC